TTTTTACCAAACACACCTTAAGAACACTTCAATTATTTTATTACTGTGTTTTCATTGTGTTATTAAATGAATTACTATTTAAAAATAACATTATGGGATTTTATTTTTATTTATTATTAAAATTAATAATAACTTAACTATAAGTTTGTAACAATAATTGATATAATTAATTATTTTATATTTTTATAGTTTAATTGAATAATAATTTATTATAAAATTATTATAGTTTTATTTAATAAAATATCTATAATAACTTATTAAATTATTATTTTGTTATCAATTTAATAATTGAAATTTCATCAAACATGCAACAAAAATTTGTTATTAATAACCCGTTATTAACACAATAGTCGTAGCTGTATTATTTGTATGTGGTATTTTAGAGTATATATTTGCTTTATAATATTGTAGACTAAAAACTGTCGATGTATTTTTTTTAATAATATACACTTGTAATTGATATGTGATTTTTTACAACTTATAATCTTAATGACTATTGTGGATGCAAACAATGACATTGATCCTCTTTTACAAGTAATATTATGGAATATCTGTCAAAAATATATTAAAAACATTGTATTAAATATATCGTTACAAAAAGGCATAATCTGAAAATAAACACTAACTGAATTACCAATAACATGAAACCAAAAAAGAAAAGATGAGACAGTTCAGAAATGTAAATTCTCGGTATCATGTAAGCCCGATTAAATAGTTTGACGTAACATAATTGAATTCCAGGTGTTGTTGTAATATATAAAATTAAATAACAAAATAAAAGTAATTTCTTGACTGTTGGTTGCATTTTTTCTTTCTTTTTAAAACATTCGAGTTGTTACAAGTTTTATAAAATTTCATACATCTAAAAGTTATTGTAGTTGATAAACAAAAAAATGATTTATTAATAAATTAAACAGGCACATCAGATATCAATTATCAATTTCAAAACAATCACATCATTTATATTTTCTTTATTGTTTTTTAAAAACCAATAATTAATATTTAATCAATAATGGTTTATAACCTATTAGTAGTCGAGGTATTCGGTTTACATGATATACTTATTAATACAGATATACACATTTTCAATAATAAAAATTTGTTGTAAAAATAAATCACATTAATTATATTCGAATCTAACAGTTTATGTTTGATGCCTAACTTTTAACAACAAAAAAGTTTGCAAGTTTTATATTTATATAATTTTAAAATAGTCTGTTTTACGTTAATACACATCCGATTAACAATATATACAGTTATAATCAAATCGAAATTAAATATTTTAATTGATCATTTTTGTTATATTTTGATATCATTAAAATTTATTTTGAATAATTATACATTTATTAACTTTTAGTAAAAGGTGTTTCCAATTATTCACATAACAAAGTTATCAACACAATTAAAAGTTTAAATATATTAATAATAGATATACATATTTGTTAATACAAGTATAATTGTATAATTGAATTATTGAATGAATAATGACTGTTAATGACATTGTTATTTTCAATTATTGATTGTAATTATATGTGTTTGCATTGACGATTTGTTAATACAAAGAAAAATCAAATATAAACAATTGTTAATAATTTCATTGTGCAATCACTTCCATATCCTCAATTTTCATATCAACAGTTTTTTGTTGAAAATGATGTGCAAGC